AAAGCTTAGGTGTAAATACAACATATTTTGATGCATTTTTATTCATTATCTTTTACTATTTTAACCTAACTATAACTCATTGCCTCTATGGGTTATAAAAACAGAAACCCAACCTTCAGGGCACAGCAACCTTTTTAAGGCTGAGAGCTTCCTCATGGGTACCGAGTCATAGAAAGGGCTACAAATACTGACATATCAATAGAGGAGTCAGTGTTCACCCAAACGTCCCGCATAATAAACATATTTTAATTGTTCTTATTATTATTATTATTAATAATAAGAACTTATTATTGTTAATATTTTAATTTTTCAAATCTCCATAAATGCCTAAATGCTCTCTATAATTGGTGTGATGACAATCTTTATAAATGATAACAAAAAGAGCAGCAGAATGAAATAACATTTCAAACTTGGCCCACTTGTGAGACGCTAAGGGCCTCCCATGTGGACCTTGAGGGCCCCTTGGTGACCCCTGATTTAAACATCTTATGGAGCGCAGTTAAGTCAAATTTTTCAAAGAGTATAAAACAACGGCAGCCCAAGAGAACATTAATCTGAGAAGCACAAAGATGTGCATTAAAACTCTGGAGGAGCTGCAGAGAGCCATCACTCAGGCAGGACGACTGGTAGTCATGTACTCCACAGATCTGACTTTTCTTCACGAAGAAAGTTACTAAAATAAAAGAGCGTGACTTGTTTGAATCTGGACAGCAGAAAATGAAATGGCTTGGATGCGTTTCTCTACTGAGCAAAATCAGATCAGCTTTAATGTGAGAAATGTGAGTATTTCACCGCATTAAACATGCAGATCTTAGTCATTGATTTTCCGAGATATTCCGTAAAATCCGAATCTCTGTATCTTAACTTAGGGATCTCAACAAACCCTTTCATGAAAAATTGTTTTGAGAAAATGTATTTTCCCCTTAGGAGAAGCAGATCAATGCTAAATTTCAGTGGAGCGATCAACATAGGGCGGCTGCCTCTATAATGGCTCAATATCCACATTTTTCTCTCTTCATGGAGCTTTGACAGGTTCTCTATGTGGGGTGGGGGCTTATAGACAATTCATGAGACAAGTTTGACATATAGAACATATGAACATTACATTTAATTGTTCAGAGAAGTCTCTCTAGATGGAAAGGATCAAATAAACTAGACAATACCCAGGGAGGATCTGATTTATTGCTGTTTGCCTTAGGGCGGTGTGTTCAAAATCCGTTTCAATTTTCTGATATATAGTTGTTTTTTTCTTTTTCTGTCTCTGAGACATGTTTAAAGACCATTTGATCGTAGAACGTAGAAAGATTTCACCTCCAGAGGTTCACGATTCATGCTGTCAAAAGTTTTAAATAATTAACTGCAGTCAAATATTTCAGGCTTGACAAGCTTGTATAAGCAGTAAATATTTGAGCATGCCAACCATTGAATTAATATTGATATTAATTGAATAATTTTCATTTAGGAAACAACATGTTTTAGACGCTGACCATACAGGCGTCCATATTAATGCTTTATGGCTAGTCCAAATTGGTGAGTTCATGTCTTAATATGCAGTGGGCAGCCATATTGAATTTTTCGCTTAGTTTTGATAATTGATTAACTTAAATTCAAGATTTTTTTAAAAATAAAAAATGGAAAACTGCATGCCTTTGGATAGTATTGCAGAAATCAGTCGATAGAGAAAGAGAATCAGCAGAAAGTAACCTTTGAGTCTGTTTTTCATTGATAGTTCTTTAATCGCATTAATATGTTTCTGGCATGCCGCTTTAGATTGATGTTGTCATGAAAAGATGAGTATTTTTTAGTCAAAAGAAAAAAAAAGATTGAAACTTTTTATGATTTTATAAAAATATTTTGGTTTTAGTTCATATGGATGTGGTCAACAAACTGCATTCTACATGAAAAGGTCAGCTGAGCTTCCTATCATCTGGAAACAGTGGATTAAACTTCACAGTGATATATTTATCAGGAAAATCTTTTAAATTGTTTTTCTTTAGGTGGATACCTACATTTTAACCAGAGAGAGAGGGAGACTAATGTTAAGAAAAATATAATTTTTTACCTTTGTTCATTAATCTAGGTTATCCCATGACTGGTACAGTAGTAGCCATTTAAAATTTCCCCACTTTGCTTTATTGGCCCTTGGATGGTCCTTTGTAATTCCTTTTTAAACATTTTTTCCACTAAAATATTTTTTCTGTCATGATTTGTGGACATTAAGACCTAAAGGGAAGCGTCATCCTCTGGTAAGATCCTGTAATTCAGTGAAAGGGTGGAGTCAGATTAAAAAAAATGCCAGAGGCTGGAAGTTGGAGGGGATTTTGCTGGAAGCTGCAGGGAAGTGGGCTGAAATTCGGCTGGTGTTCGACTGGAAAAGGCTGCTACTGTAAGCACACTTTTCTAATCTAATATATAATCATAGCAGAAAGTGGACTTTGAGATATTTACATCCTGCTGTAACTCCCGTGTCTTAACTTTCCATACAATGTTTACCTTTCTAGTTCTGGCTAATCTTGTAATCAAAGTCTTATAATTAGATTCTTCAGCTCAAAAAGCTCAATAGCAAAATCAATACCAGAGATGCATCTGTATGATAACTATGGAACTAGCAGCAATTTAGCCCACTTTAGTAAACTAAGGGGATAGAAAAAAAACAAATTCTATTATAGAAATTGAAATTTTGCAGTGATTTATCCAGAGAAACCAATTTATGATGGGAAACAAGACTAGAAGTTGTAAATCTTGATAGATGGCATAAAGATTTATGTACAGCGAACCACATTACAGAGAAGTTAATTTGTGCTGTGAGACACACAAATGAATGGGGTGGAAGCAGGCTCGGACTGGGAACGATTTTCGGCCCTGGCATTTTTCCGCGTATGCCCCCCCTCCTGAAAAAAAAATAGAAGCACAGTCATACACGTGCGTCTCAAATGTGAAACACAATACAAATACACATTGTGGATTAACTGACCTATCTTCAAGCATCACACGACAACCATCACCAAGACTTCTATAATGCGGTTTTACTGGCTTTGGTTATTAACACAGACGTGACAGTGACTGCTGTTACATAACGCCCACACTCACCACATCAGCAGGGTTGTCAGATGTCACTGACTCATGTTTTCCAGCTCAAAAAGTGTTCGTAAACCACCTGGATATACGAAATTGCGCCCAATTTGCACCAAAGTCTTTAGATATCTTAGGCCATAGATCTAAAGAAAAACATTTTTTTACCTATAAACGGTCATCCTAAACTGCCGGATTGGGAAACATCCCAACCTGGCAACAATGCACGTAAGACGGTAATCGTTAGCCTTTAGATGCAAAACTCAGCAACATATTTTTGCAAAATATTCAAACATAAAGTCGCCAAATATAAGAGGAACATCATAGTTTGGTTTAAAGAAAGCATTTAAGTTTTATTATAATTTAGTCTGTTGAAAGGATTTTACTGTTTGAAGAAATAGAAAATGACACCATATGCCAACTGTCACAAGGATGTGCATGACAAGGAAGGGCTATATCATGCACCATGAATCAGTTAGGTAGTTAACATTGTATTAGTTCTTAAGCTCCTTGGGTTATTTACTGTCACAGGTAGGAGCTTCGGCCTGAGAGTAAGTGTTGGGGACGGTGTGATTTAAGGAGGGACGGCCCTCGCACGCTGAGATTAAGACCGACCCACCAGGCAAATGCCCGCTATCACAGATTACCAGTCCCAGCCTGGGTGGAAATCAGATTTTATTTTAATTCTAAATAAAAGTTTCAGTCAGGATAAAGGTCTCAGAACTTTAATTACTTCCAGCGTAATATGCCGTGATATCCTTAAATTACAATCATTAAAAGATTGCCACAAAACCTCCAGCAAGCAGTTTGTCTGGCGCTGTTACCCTGGATACAGTAATGCTGGGTGGAGGTAGCATTATCCTGAGGGGACAAGGCAATTCAAGAAGAAAAGATTTGAAGCCATAGATTAGAGACTAGAGCAGAGGTGGTACTACTATTATAAAATGACCTAGTCAAAGTGTAGGCCTAGTGTCAGTTGGTAATATATTTCCCATATCAGTTAGTCTTGACACAGATCCGATTTATTGCAGCCTGTATCTGGTCTATTAATGACAGTCTGAGCAACACAGATCTGATTATTTCAAATGCGACTCAGGCCACTTGGTTATGTAGTCCTAATTCCGATACGTTTCATTCATCCGACCGAAACATCATTAAAACTCAACTTCCTATTCTGCATTTTGCAACACAGAAACGGGAAGAAAAACAACCCATAGCGGACGATAATACTGAGGGCATTCTTTATTTTGTACCTTCGTGAAAAGATTGTTAATGCGCTGGCTTCAGTTGGAAAAGAAATGAAAGATGGCTAGATGCACTCAAGCACTACCTTCCATGTTTACCTCCGTAAACATAGAGCAAACTCGCTACTTGCGACGTCATTGCATCTTCTAGTGCGCAAGTAAGTCACTTAAGTCGTATGAATAAAATTCACTGAAGAGATCGCATAGAAATGGCAAATATTTGCAAATATGAACGACCAAGGAAAACGGTGAGATTTTCCACAAAAAATCGCAATAGAGCATCAAGGTCTGAACTGTTAAGTCTTTTTTTATTTCATTTTGTAGGATATTTCATGAGCTAAATATCACATAGAATTCATTGAGAATGTGGGATTTTGGCACATTTATACCAGGAAGTTTGTGTATATTCTTAACAACAACTGCTAACAGGAAGAAATTACCAACGCTAAATGTTTATGCCATCTATAAATAAGAGCTGTACTAATCTCATGCTTTAGTAGCTCGTAAAGTGGTGTGTCCATATCTATAAGACTACCATGAGATAGGGTTGAAGGAATGTAGGGTACCTCCAGGCTTGGCACTAAAAAAAGCAAGCCCACCTCCACTTACCCTCTCCCAGAAGTCCATCCCTTTTTTTTTTTTTAAGAAGGGGGGCTTCTAAAATAAAGTCAGCTGTCACTAGACGCCTGGGCCCCACTGAGCTGCACTGTTGGAGCTGGTCTCCAATCCACGCTTTCTTTCTTTCCAGGACTTTGTTTTTGGTTTTGGATCAATTTTATTTTTCTTACAACCCAAATCTCTCTTCTGTCTGGTTGGATTATATCTATTTTGACTGAAAGAACATCTTGAAGGTAAGAGATTTTAGCAGCCTATGATTTAAGGGTTGACCCTGCGGTTGCTACCTCATGTCTTCCTCCTTTTTAACATGACTCAAAAGTGGTGTAAAAGAAATTATTTAAAGTAGTAGGGGTGTTTTTTGTGGCTCGTTTCCACCATTCCGCAAGGATTTGTGCATTATCATAAAAAATGCATGAGCCGTTTCCTGTTTCCTTCCATCAGACATCCCCAGCAGCAGTCTGACCCGGAATATTCTGAAAAACAGAGCTAATCGGAGCCTAAGTGCAAAGCTCGGCATAAGAAAGTGCTGGAGGACAATTCAATCTCCTTGTAAAGGAGTTATTTTGATAGATTTGACAGCTTAATTATTGTGCCTGTTTTACTTTGCCAGTGAGGAAGAAATCCTCCTCCCTGGGTTGACATTTCAATTAGTGTAACTCTCTTTACTTTCTTGTCAAACCTCACCAGGCAAAAGGTTTGGTAAGTGAGTACAGAAAAGAAAATTGCGTGGCCGAAGGCTTTTATTGTGAGCAAAGGGACACCTCTGCGATGTGTTTATAGCTTCGTCTATGATCCTTTAACTTTCTTTGTGCTGCCAAGCCTTACTGCCTCTCAGGTCCTCAAAGACTGATATTACAGTCTCATTCTGGGCATCTCGGCATTATGGATCCCTTCTTTCACTCTTCACCTTTCCACCCTTTTCCTTTTGCCTCCAAACTAGCCAGTCTAGAGTGGAACAACTCACAGTCGGCCCCTTTGGAGGAGGCATCGCGGGGAGGCAGGGCCTAGAGGTCAATGGGCTTTAGCCGAGCTCAATATAGCCGCTGAGTAGTGTATGCTGTCAGCAGCACGGCCTCCCTTGTTGACTTATCACGGCCTTTCACATTTCTATTACAGCCAGTGTTATTACCTTTGTTTGTTGTGCTTTGAAGGAAGATACATCTAAGAAGAAAGATTGTCCACGTCTGATTCTATGCGCTTTAAAAGAGCAACTTTAGACCATAAAAGTAGCTTTTATAGCTTTTAAATAGAGGTTAGAGGGAGAATGAATATGGCCACATATTGAATGCTTTAGACCTGCCATAATACTAATGGTTGAGTTTTTTTTTGTTTAGCTGGAATTTTTTTGTATCCTTCTTTGGGCAATATAACGGCACTCAAGCAAGCTGAGCCTATTAACCCTAAACCAGTCACTGCCAATGATGAAAGAATTAACACCTAGATGATTCCCCACCAAGTATTAACAATAGATTTAATCTCTTGTTTGTAGAAATGTTTTAATTCAGCCACATTAAAGGATTTTGAAGCTTGAACAGACTGTTTAGGGTCTCCCAACAGGGCTTTAATCTTCCTTTAGTATCAACTCTAACTGAGCCACCTTTAAAGGCATACTATGCAACATTTTTCAGTTAATTAATGTGTTCCATAACGTTTTGGATGATTAAATGAGTCATTTCAGGTCGAACAAAGGTTTTCTCGGCCGCCCTGGTGGTCTGTAGGGGAAATACCGTACTTGCAATTGCAGGAGCCCTCGGCCCGCACCCACAGGCTCAGAAGTCTCGTGCATCGCGAGAGTCGGTCTTGCTTTACGGCGAGAAATGCTACATGCCCCCAGTGAAAGACATGCTCGTTGCTAGCGCAGTGGCGATATTTGTGCAGTTATCATGGCGGAACCAGCGAGAAAACAGCGAAAGCCCATGTCGGAGCAGGCAAGAAAGAGGAAAAGGGCTCTGGACAGAGAGAGGAGTCGTACACGGGTGAACATCGGGCAAGCTTTTTCCGAATGGCGGGAGCTAAAGGAAAAAGAATGCTGCAAGGCTTGACGGAGAAACCAGGAGAACAGCTGAGCATATTTACGACAGTGCACTTTTACTTTCGCCCTCTGGGGGGAGCCTCACTGGAAAATCAACACCAGTTGAATAGTATACCTTTAAAAACCATCATTTTGTTTATTTGAGTCATAAAACAAGCAGCAAAGGATGTCCTGACCATTGCACCGCTGCCACCATGCCTGACTGTCTGCATGATGTTCACTTTGGACGATAAGTAAATACCGGCGGTCAAACAGTCATCCATAAAATAGTTTGTTTGATAATCATGATGCTCTTGGCAATGTGGCAAAGCAAGTTTATTTATAGAGCATAATTTAGTACAAAGACAAATAAAAAGGAAGGCAAATAAAAGAAACAAAGATCAAAACAAGATCGTTCGACCAAAAAAATTGGACTAATTATAGACATTTAGAGACATTTCAATGAGTTGCTGTTTTTTGCTCAGCAGTTGATTGTGGTTCTGGGTTCATTTGTGGCCTCCTGGGTGGGTCTTTAAAGTGAGCTCTTAAGTAATTTCCTCTGGTCAACAAATCCTAGAAAGGCTCATTACTCTTCCATGTTTTCTCAGTTTGGGAATAATGGCTGTCACTGTGGTTCACTGGATTCCCAAAGCCTCAGAATTTACCTTCCTCACCCCTACATGTCAACAACTGCGTCTCAATTAGGGTTCCTCCATTCCAGAACAATGTTTATTTATGAGACCCTTTAAACTACTTGTTGTTTTCAGGCAGGTTGCATTTCCGTGATTTCTTACCTCTACAAGCCTGATAATCAGTACTGTGAAGAAAAAAAAAACTTAATCACAGTGTTTCATGATTAGACAGGCAAGTAGTTCTTCACAGCATTTAAGTTTGGCAGGAAAGCGTTTCCCCATAATGAATGGAGTCCTCAATAAAACTGTTTTTGTATTTATTCGCATTTTTTTAACTATGAAAAGTGATTTAATGACAAAAAAAAGCAAAAATAGAAGAAATTAATTATTGCATATATATATATATATATATTGTATTTTATTTATGTCCCCTAATCCCAAACCGTGTTTTTACACAACAAAAAATGCCTTCTAAAAAATAAGAAAAAAATTATAGTGTTTTAAGTGAATTATTGCTTATTTTTAGCAAAATAATCTGCCGGTACAGCAAGCAAATGAGACTTGGTAAGATTTCTTAAAACAAGAACATAATATCCAAGTAGTAAGCATCCAAAAAAACTTTAATCAAATATAAAAATCAATTTTTTCTTTTACTCGTTAAGATTTTTAAGATGTACTCACAGTCTAAATGTTAACGCGACTCAGTCCACAATGTGTGCTATTTTAAGAAAAAAGCTGCTCAGAATTAGTTGTATTATCTAGTTAGGATTAAAACAATGAATTTTCTTAAAACAAGTCAAATAATCTTACCAATATTCAGTCTTACTAAGAAAATACACTGAAAAACAAGTGTAATAAGACCAAAATGCTGAATTCAAGTTTATTACAGTTGTATAGATTTTCCTTTTTTGCAGTGTATTTTATTTTTGCACAACCATATTAACAAAATCACATTAACAGATAGGTATCTAACTAATCCTACAGAAGAGGATTAGGGCCACTGAAAAAAAAAGAAGTTAACTGATTTTTTAATTTTATTTCAGTTTAACATGGGGAAAAAAGTCAGAATTCTGACTTTTTTCTCAGAATTCTGACTTTTTTCTCAGAATTCTGACTTGAGAAAAAAGTCAGAATTCTGACTTTTTTCCCATACTAAACTGAAAAAAAAAATATTTAAAAATCAGTTAACTTTTTTTTTTTTTCCCCAGTGGCCCTAATCCTCTTCAGTATAATCCAGTCAGTTGAGTATCTTATAAATGTTTGCTGAAGGGAAAGTTTGAGCTGTTATGGTTACAGCGACATGATTGGATGCATTCTTGCAGCTGGTTTTACCGGTGAGCGTTTCCAACCAAACTGCACCCAGACACTTTACCCTTTTTATCCTGAGACGCATGAAGCATGAGGCGACGCATGAATGCTAATATTACAGACAATTAATAATGAACTGATCTTAAATCTGATTAGTAAACATGCTGAGTACCATGAAGACTTTCACATCTTAAAAAATAGGTCCTTTAATTTCATGTTCCCAGATGCTCACTCCCACACACTTCCTCTCTGTGAAGCTCCCCTGTTACGAGGGAACATGACGCTGCAGACAGAGCCGGTTTATAAAAAGGCAGGGTTTATTTTTTTCCTCCAGTCAACCCCCCCCCCCCCCCCCCCCTCCCTGTAAAGCCATCTTACATCAACCCTGTGGTATGGCAGCTCTACATATGACCTGTCATTCTAAAAAGCAGGAGATATCCAAAGAGCTGTTGTCATCGCACGCAGTGTTTGAAACCTTCCCGCAGTCCACCCGTGTCTGACGGCTCCAGACCATGACGTGAACATTAATCTGAAGTGATAAATGGGGGAATAATCCTTGTGTTTCTGTCGTCAGGCCATTATTAGGCCTCGGCAAAGCCTCAGGTGTAGGATTTCTGACTCCCCCCGCTGGGTCATTGCTATCATTGATGCTGAAAGTAGCAAAAACCTAAATCTGGCGTCATGAGATGTTTTTAACACATGACATGAATGAAAGCACAGAACCATGTGGCCTCTGGAACTTTCTCTTAGTGTCCTTTTAAGAAAATACAGCACGTTGAAAATATTTTCTTACATTTTTTTCCACATTTTGTAAAGCAACAATAATAGAAATCTAAATAAGTCATATTTTCTTAAAATAAGTGCATTTTGTCTTGAATGGAGAAGCTAAGTGAGATAGTTTGCCTTTGGAACAAGACTATTTACATTTAAAATGAGAAAAAGCAACTGCATTGTCTTAATACAAGCCCATATTATCTAATTATTTCAACTCATTTTGCAAATAATCTTATCTACTTACTAAAATTAAGGGTAAATACGCCTTATTTAAGAATTTTTTTTACTTATTTCTAGATTGCTTTTTGCGTTAACAAAAAAGTCTACACTGCAAAAATGATCTAGAAATAAGTACAACTGTCTTGAATCAAGTGTATTTACCCTTAATTTTAGTAGTTAATTGGCATGGTTTGCCGATGGAATTAGTATTTTACTCTTAAAATAAGATAATTAGATAATATGCACTTGTAATAAGACATTGCGATTGGTTTTTTCTTATTTTAAATAT